GGTAGAGGCCTTGCGACGAGCTGATCACTCGCCCAAGGAGTCCTACCGTATGTGTAAGATCTAGTAAACCGAAGTGAAACGGAGAGTTTCATGGAGGTAGGCCTAGGCCCAAATGAGGGCTGTAGGGCCAAAGGAAATAAAAAAATGTTTATAGATTGCCGGTCACGGTAACCGAGTGGTCTAAGGGCGGTCGCACACCAACTGCGTCAAGACACGCATCAACACATGAGACAAAAGACGCAGTCTTGCTTGATTCGTGATTGGTCAGCATGAAGCTGACGTCAGCATCATGAATCAGACCGGTGTGCGGCGATTTTCATAATCTCATTCGTTTCAACTGTGCTCCTTTCTTTGCGTCATGTCGCAGACATCGTATCTTGACTGTTACATGTCTTGCCTCATGCCAGTGTGCGGCCTACCTAAGGTATGCACTCTCTTCGCCCGCTCGTAAGCCGGGATTTCGATTTGAATCCTACTCAGGGCATGGAAGTTCAGTGTTTGTGTGTGTTTGTGTTTGCTGATCACCCGTCCAAGGAGTCCTGTGTTTGTGCACAAGTAGAGGCCTTGCAACGAACTGATCACGTACCCAAGGAGTCCTACCGAATGTCTCTAAGATCTAGTAAACCTAAGTGAAACGGAGAGTTTCATGAAGGTAGGCCAAAGCCCAAATTTAGATTGTAGCGCCAAAGGAAAAAATGCCTATATATTGCTGGTACTTGCTGAAGAGAATATTTTGGCCTAAAACGCTGCAATAATAAGGGATGGAAACAGTTGTACCCTATAAGCTTAAACTGTGCCTCAAACATTGTTGACGTGTCATCATCAGGTAGAGATGTAGGTAATTACATCATAATTAGGAAATTGACTGAATTATCTGTACTTATTTGTCATTTATTTATGGGCGATTTCATTTTTTCAACTGGCGCTACAGCCCCCTTGGGCCCTGGCCTCTGATTTTTTCCCAGTTTCTTGTTTTTTTTCCATTTACTTATTACTCATATTGTTACTATGGAGTAGATTGTAAATTTGCAAGAAATAACAAAAATGATAATTTTACAGGCAGACAGGACTCTTTGGACGAGTTATCAGCTCGTCGCAAGGCCGCTACCTAAACACAGGACAACACAAACACAGAATAAACACATTCACATACCAAACATCCATGCCATGTGTGGGGTTGGAACCCACGATCTCGGTTTCCGAGCTAGCGAACACAGTACATGCCTTAGACCGCTCGGCTACCGTGACTGGTAGTGTATAAGAATAATATATAAAAATTCAGTTCGTACCTCACAGGAAACAGATCGGAACCCACGATCCCGGCTTCAGAGCGAGCGAAGACAACGCATGCCTTAGACCGCTCGGCCACCGTGACCGGCAGTGATTTCAATAGCTCAGATTATATAGCGTCGAATTTTATGATGATCACTGGGTAATGAATTGGAAAGGATGTGGAAGGAAGCGATCGTGGCCTATCTTGACGTACTGTCGCGGCATTTACGTGGAGACATTGAAGAGGACAACGGAAAATCTCATTCAGGACAGTGCGGACCAAGATTTTAATCGTGATCAACGTAATTCGAACCTAAGCTTTACCTGTTCAACCCCGAGATTCGGTCTGTAACGCCTGACATCCCCCCTGAAGCCCTGTAGAAATATTTAATTAATTATCAGTGCTTCATGATCAGTTAACCGGCCCAGTAGCAATGCAGTGTGACAGCGGCGGCCTGCCACATAGCATGTCTTCAGTGGTGACATCTGCCCCAGACTGTCGGTTGCAGTTTACACACCTGTTGGCGTATGTAGGCCTACCACAATAGCGAATGCAAAATTCCCCTAGTGTCTAACTGCCACAGCATGAACGGGTGTAGGAAATGTGAAGCAAATCTAAAAACATTACAGATGAAGGCATTTGGCGGGGGCCAATGGTCACCTTCACTTTGCAGCTACTCAGTCCTGCTAATAAGGCGTAAAGATGATCTGGAGGAATATCTCTCGATTGTTCTAAATCTGAGCACTATACGATGTGTAATTAGCTTCACGCTTCGGCCAGTTGAACCTCACGGAAGCGGTTATATCTTTTAATATGAGCTGGGCTGGGTCGCAGAGTCGGTTGATACGCGTTGTTTCGTGCTGGGAACTGAATTCCTGGTTCTGCAGCACACATCTGTTCCAGAGCATCTTCCTTGTGTTCTGGGGCTCGCGGGTTCGAATCCTGGCGCTGTCACTTTAATTCTGGAGAAAGATCCCCAATACCAATTGGATAGGAGGGTTGGTGGGCTCCAGAGTCAGTCTGGACGATGTGGAGTAGAGAAAAATCTTATACTGCCGGGAATCGAACACGGGCCGTCCAGCCTATAGCCCATCTCTATACCGACAGAGTTATCCCGGCTCCTTGAGATCAATTTTATATTGTCCTCCCATCTATATCTTGGTTTTCTAGGTGACCTCATCCCTTCAGGTTTTTCGACGAAAATCGTATGTGTATTTCACATCTCTGTTACGCGTTTCAGCTTATCTTTGGTTTGATTATTCTAATAATAATCCACTACGGCTACATATTATGGAGCTCCCGTACAGCAGTCTGTTTCCTTGTTTTACATTCCGACAGCGCTAATCGTCGGTTCATTTCGTATGCATTAATATCAGTCTAAGTTAAAAATAATAGGCCATAGGTCCTATCTGTGGAAACCGGATGGCTCAGTTGGTATAGCGTCTGGACTTCGGCCTGGACGTCGATTCTCGGTTGAGGCAAGGGATTTTTCTCCACCGCGTCTAGACTATGACCAGTCTCTTTTTGCCCAGGGCTCTTTCCCCAGGGATAAAGCGACTGGGGCGTGAATCTAACCACTCATCTCCATGTGGTGCTCAGGTTATAAATAAATACATGGAGCCATATCTCTAATCCCCCATACGCCGTCTAGGCATTGTGCTTGATTTAGCAGAGGGACAAATTTAATTTACTTGAAAAGGACCACTGCTTGGGAACTCCGGAATATGAGCGAATGACGTCGACGTCCTCGGAAAACGCTGTGTTTGGCCTTGAGGTTATAGTGTCAGAGGACATGAAAGGCAAACATTAGTCTCAGGGTCATGATACGAAACTAAGCGTAACATAAAGCTAACATGAAACACTGGGGTACTCTGCATTTAATGTTCCTGCCTGATGCTGTATATTGTCGCACTTACTTAACCCGTAAAAAGGAAATGTTAATTACTGGCCTCGCCGTCTGTTTTAACACTCGGCAACTCAGCATTTCGCTCATAAAATGCATTTATTATAAGTTCTGGGTAAGGTAAGGTAAAGTTGTCCCTGTGCTTAACTAATTAAGCACTACGCCATGAAGACGTATCGGGAAGTGGATGCATAGATATACAGATATAGAGATATAATGAAATTTACGTCTACACTTCCTATTTCTATTGTTATTAATTTTATTCGCTGTAAATGTATATATTTTACGTTTTTGGCGTCTCAGTGATAACTTTGATTTGTGTTAATGGGATAATAATGTATGTTGTTCAGATGATATACATTGCCTTATTATGTGTTCCATTTCTTTCGTTTATTTGTGCTCATTTTATGAATAAATAATTTAATTGAATTATTATTCATGTTATTGTTGTTATTACGTATGTGCTCCTTACACCAATTTCTTTGCCTGTTGCAGATGGATCTTCTGAAGGCAAAACTCCAGAAGATGAAGATGATGGAGTGTACGAAGATGTCGGACTGCCTGAGGACAACCCCACAGCTCCTGGTATCGAAGTAACTGAAAATTGCGTCACAGTAATCCGTGTCGGTGATCCCGAAGAACAGAGAGAAATTGTTAACGAATTAGAACAGGATCGGGAAGGAGAGGCTGACGAATATCAGCTGACACTGCATCTGACGGCAGCCGCCCCTCTTACGACGCGGAGGAACCCGTCTCCTTACTACTACGGTGATCTCTTCCGTGAGGACTACGAGCCACAAGTTCCTCACCGCCACTACTCCACGCGCCAGCAGCAGCAGAATCAGCCCAGGAAGAGCGCCAGCCTAGACACGCCCGCGACTGCCGTGCTCCCGAACAGGAACTCTCTGGATGGCGATGGGAGCGCGTCCGTGTCGTCCCTAATCCTGTCCGAGGTCAGTCCGTACAGCGGCAGTCATCATGCGGCCGGTAGCGCCGGGTCTTTGTTGGCTGCATGTCTACTGGAGTGGGACGCAATCCTCATGCCTCCCCACCGGCAACTGAGGGGTCAGCACGACCTGCCGTCAGTCTGCGCCTGCGCTGGAGCTGGTCAGTGCCTTGACGAAGATGATGACGTGGACGACTTAGGAGACTACGATCCCAGGAGCCGTCACATCCATCGGCACCAATATCACCATCATTACTGGCAACAGCAGCAGCACAATGGAGGAAGAGCGCCTGTAGAGGAGCCTCCTGTCGATTACGACGTCCCAGAGGAAGGGGAGGACGAATACGGTTGCGATATGAGTGGACGTCAACGCCATTTATATGAGACTGCTTTCGATTGTAAAGTAAATCGATCGGATGACGACCTGGATGATGTAGATCGTGTCACAAATCATCCGGTTCTTCAGATGTTTGGAGGTAGCAAAGTTTCCTCGTCGACAAACACTGGCAACAGCTTAGCGAGGCCAGTGCGTGCCACGTCATCTAAAGACCCTACGATCAGTGTGGGGATCTACACTCCCAAAGAGAGACGAAAAGTGACGCTTGTGCGCGGAAAATTTGTGAAGGACCGTCCCAAAGCGATCCCTAGTCGTTTGCTGCAGTCAGATACCGCTAGTAGTACCACAACGTTATCTCAGGACTTGGAAGGTCTGGAGATAGGAGATGCCGAGGAAGTGAAGCCCGAACCCTCGCCTTCCCTCCTCAGAGGCTATTCTCCATCGCCACCATCCACGGCCCCTTTGCCAGCCAAGTTTCATGGCAGCAACAAAGACGTTCTTGCCATGAACAGCATTCGCAGTGCGCCCAACTTGCCTTCAACCAGCCCTGCCCACCCGCGGCTCAAAGATGTGCGCCTACCAGTGAAGTCATTGCGCGCTCGGGAGCTACCTGACAATCGCAAAGGGAGCATTATGGAGTTCAAGGGTCGACCTAGAAGTATGGTACATCAGGAAGAAAACGTACCTGAGTTTAAGGGACGTCCTCAGAGCATGTTTGTTGAAGGAGGGACAATTCTTGAATTCAAGGGTAGACCAAGTGAAGCGGAAAAAGGGGAACAACCCATTTTAGAATTCAAAGGCAGGCCGGGTAGGTCTGAGAAAGACGAAGGAACTATACTGGACTTTAGTGGCAGGCAGCGTGGGTTAGTTAGTCAAGAATCAGGTCCCATATTGGAATTCAAAGGAAGGCCGGCACCAGGAAACAGACGTTCCGGCGTGCGACCCAAGTACTCCAGCACAGAGAGCATGGCTACAAGTAGCAGTGGAGGGAGTCTGGAGTCAATCCGCAGCAGTACAAGCGAAGGAAACCGCAGCACAACTAGTTCCGAAAGTCATCGGAGTACTTCTCTCAGTTCCCACAGTTCCGATTCAGCGAGCAGTAGTGGTGGAGGGGGTAACAGTTCTGGACAACCTTCCGGTAACCCCCATCACCATCACCACTACTATCATCACCATCACCACCATCACCATCAGTGTTCCGGGGCCGGTACACCCCTGGGAGTCGTGTCCGGAGGGCGTTTCTTTGTCCACCAGAGTAACAAACTCCATATCCTATCGCCAATATCGGACAAGTCTTCACAGGAACCTGTATCGGAAACGTCGGACAACAACCGCAACAATAACTCGCAGAAAGCTTCTCCTGAGGACACGGACCAGATCACGTCTCCCATGTCCACGACAAAGGGTCCAACGACGGATTCTCAGCCGTGGGGAGAGCCAGCGGGCATAAAGCTCAAACGACGTATCCCACAAAACAAAAACCTCATCAACCTCACCCTCCAGCAACAACAGCAGTCATCATCGTCAGGAGAGGCCGAAATCCAGGGTTCTGACAGCGGCATCTCCATAGAATCCCGGGGTGGTACCAAATGTAACAAGGTCTATAACTTGACTGCTTTCTCTTTCGCAAAGCAGACAAGTAACGTGGACAACGGCGGAGTACCTGATAACGAGCTACAAACAGCTGATTTCTCGGATCTGCCTTTCGACATGCCCAAACTGCGGCGCCGTCGCCTCTTGCAACAAGACACCTGTACGTCTGGCAGCGCCACTTCTGTAGACCTCCACGACCTGCCGTTTGACATGCCGAAACTTAGAAGACGCCTGCGAGGTCAGCCTGTCGTACAACAGCAGCCGCAGACGAGTACAGAGTCAAGCGGCGTGTCTCAGGCGTCTTCGAGTCAGAGCGTCCGAGATGCTGACCGCTCTGCGTCTTCAGGTAACAAGTTGTAACCAAGTGCACAGCCTGTAAGGCTATATAATTTACTGAACTTTCTCTATGAATAAAAACAACAATCATCGCGGTCGAATGAGTATGACTCCTGCTTCATATTCGGGAGATCCCGGGTTCAACTGTCGGCTTGAGAGTGGTGACTTCTCTCAGTTCCTCGAGACAAGTACAGAGATTGTATCGTACTTTAAAATATTAGATCCACTTGGTACGTCTGCCACTAATTGTACCAGCCCCGGATGATAGATGCTGATGAATGTGGAGCATTCCGTAAAATGAGAATTGGCAGGGGAAACCGAAGTACTCTGAGAGAACCTGCCCCAGTGCTACTTTGTCTACAACGAATCACACATGACCTGACCTGGGCTCGAACCCCGCCCGAACCACTTGACGCTATTTAGTCCGTTACTCATAGCATCGGTAAATAACCACACATATAGACAGAACATACATGGACGACATACAGTCACTGTATGATCTCTCACATGTTATGCACATCGTTCTAATGGAGACTGAGTCATTTAGCATGGCACGGGGTGAGTTTTGCTTCCCCCAGGCGAGGGAGTCTTTGAACCGGCGCGTCATTTGTTTTTCCATACAGTTAGCAGTATTAAATACAGCTTTGGTCTCTGTGGCTATCATTGGTTACTGTGATTACCTACCTACCACTCGGCACTACAGCCCTGGGTGAGAATTGGCCTCCTCTACAACCAGTCTCCACAACAAATGCGTGCTGCCATAGGAATTGATCCAACCAGGCTGGTTGTTAGGTTTCTGAACAAAATTCTATTTACAGTCTGAGGTTGTTAGCCTCGTGCCTAACCCCAAACCTGGAGGACCAGGGTATCTCTCTTAGTCTGGACTCAACCTTTTGACCTTTCCGGCATGGGTGACCCTACCGGTAGTTAAACTACCGCCAGCATAGCTCTCCAGGTCACAGAGTCACGCAAGCCCCACCACCACGACAAGGTGGAGACAACTTTGGGGGAACTCTGATTGTCTAGGCCCCTTTCGAAACTAGTGGTAACGTCGCTCGTTCGCCATAATGTCGGTACCGATGGTAGGTGGGTAAGTATTTCCTTGAAATAGCTCCTCAGTTATCCTCACGAGGCTAAGTGGAACCCTTTCCAGACCCACTACTTCTCAGAAAATCTGGCAGCGCTAGGAATCGAACCCGGGACCTTTGGATCTGTAGCCAGGAACTCTTACCACTAGAACAGAGAGGCGGTTGCTCTATACACATTGTGTAAATATAAGCGTACTGAATTATACAAAACAGAACATGGGTTAAGACGGTCATTATAATGCAGGTCTTGTTCAGCTGTTACTGTGTCGTTAAATAATCAAAGAGCCGTAAGTAAATATAGGCCTGGGGGGGAGAGCGGATCAGGAAAAGAACCCATACATGTCAGCCTAGCCCTTCCAATACGTCACAGTGCCCAATGTTGACAAATTGTTATCCATTGCCCGGTATCCCTTGTGGCTGTCGGCTACTTGTATTCATGAAGGGAACGAATTGGATCTGTCTCGCAACGTCTACACAAATCCCGGCTTGTTGCTAGAACACGCCGTTTCTCTCCAAGTCACGAACAAATCAGTTTCGGTTTTCCGTAGCATAGAACGAGAAGAACCGAGCAAGCGGACCCTTGGGGTGACATTAAAAACGTGTGTAACTTGTATGCATGGTACCCGCCTGCCTCCTGTGTGTTTGCAGTTCGTCGTAAATCCAATAGAGCTGATAAAAGTTGTGTGGCTTTGTTATGTCTGATGCAGCCGGAATAGCTCAGTCGTTATATCGACGGGCAGGAGAGCCGGATATCGATTCCTGGTAAGGTCAAGTGATTTTTATTGTCTCCTTAGTTCCCAGACCGACTAAGGGGCTAACCTAGCCCCTTTTCTAATTCGTAGCATGGCTTCTTTCCCCAGGGTAAAGCGGCCGGAGAGTGAATCTAGTCACTCACCATGTAGTTTCGAGGTTACGAATGGTGGAGCTCTACTTCCACTCTCCCATACGCCTTAATGGCTTGGTGCTTAATTAATTATACACAGGGACAACTTCAAATTTTACAGTCCTCTTTTTAATGAGTTGTTTTTTGATAAAATCGCTTGTGTTTGAGCTTCATTTGAAGCAGCGATTGTGACTGACAAATTAATTTAGATTATGGTATTTTTGGATGTGACACCGTGTAGTCTGGTGGGTAATTACCGACCTTTTCGGAGAAACTTTCTACCTCCATCTCCTGCCCTCTCTAATTGGATGCAGCAGGCTCTTCAGAATTTATGCACGTGTTTGCAAGAGTTCACGGTGTCAAAGTTCAGACGACCACAGTCTAAAACCTTCACTGCCGTTAAAACCCCAAATCCTCCCAACCGAAATCTCCCGACAACTTCTAACGCAGTCTGAGATGCCCCGTGCCAAACACCCGTCCAGTTTCGGATATGAAACTCTGCGGGCGAAAAATCACAACATCCCCATTATGAGCTCAGTTTATGCACTTCGCACAAATTAGAAAGAAATTTGTTCCTATGGTTAATTAATTAGCACGCTATGAAAATGTATGAAGGAGTAAATGTATAGCTCAACACATTAACTTCGTTAATAGATGGTGGTGGGAGGTCATCTTCACGCCCCGGCCGCTTTAACCCCCGCTGCCTATTGAGCAGGAGGCTAGGTAGGCCCCTGAGCTGGTCTGGACGCTGTGGAGAAGGGAGAAATATCTACCTCTGCCGGCAATCAAGCCCTGGTTCCTCGCTCGTCAAGCCCACGGCCTAATGATAGCCCCTTTCATAAAAACGCTGCATACAGTTCGTAGTCTGATAGGCAGGCCAGGTGGAGGTTTGAGACATTTGTCTCGGACACGCTTTCCCATTTCGACTGCTGAAATATTAAGCTTGAGGAGCGAGTAGAAATACTCGTAAAGCCCACGGCTGACAGACCGTCTCAGATTGAAATGTAGGAATTCATCCGAATGGATGATGTGGAAGAACTTTTGGTGTAGCGGGCCAAAGAATATGCGCCCTCGAGGGGTTTCCTCTGCCGCTGACTCGATTTGATTCATACGCAAAATTTTCCCCCGTCTGCTTTATTTTCCAATATGTATCCATTCTCGCAAAGATGAAAGCCTCGGTTCCATTTTTAGTCTTCCTTACTGTTGCGTGTCTATAGAATGGATAAGACATATTAGGTAGCGTTTTATGAAGTCTAGGATGAGATCCCGTGCAGTCTTGTGGAACTTTACGACGTTTCGGAAGAACGTACTGCCTACATCTTCAGGTTCGTAGAGTAAACCAAACAAGCAGAAAAGTTTTCTTGCTGGATACATGTGTTACTCTTTAACCTTGAAGATAGAAGTAGTAAGTTCCTCCGAAAAAAATCGCCGATGTTCTACCAGATTACATGACGCCACATTTTTCATAGTCACCGCAGTGAAAACAAATCCAATATAAGATGCAATTCTCATACGTAATATTAGGCACGTAACATGGAACACAATTCTTCTTGAGAAGCTGATGGTCCCTCAGCTCGTCAATTTCCTCGTATTTCATACATTCATAAGGCTCATTATTATATTATTATACAATTCTCCGGATCTTTACAGCTTATAGTTTCACTATTTTCTGATGAATATTTAATCAGCATTGCTCTTTGAGAGCTTTACGTTTGAGGCGTGCCGACAGTGGGACAGAGATTGCTAATAACTAGCCATACACTGTAATGCTTCCTTCTAGTAAGGACCTTGTACTGCTCAGACATCTTCCACAACTTTTCTGTAATGAGATTACCGTCTGAAGATCAAATTTCATAAAACATGTCATGATATGAGACGCCCGTATAAACTTATTATGAAGCCGCTTCAACTCAGCTTATTTTATCGGTTGTGCAAGCCTGGCACGCGGACTTCTACCGCTCCATAGCCTAATTTATACGCATTAATTACTTTTATATATATCACGTAGCGCGTACAGCCGTTGCTATGCAATGGCTGCGAGTTAGGCGAATAAACAACGGCTGTTTTGGGGCAAGAGCTCGGCAAACACGTTTCTGCGGCAAAGAATACGCACCCAACAATAGAAGAACGGTGTTTTCTATATGGTCCGTGCCGAGAAGTTATAACTAGGACAGTTGGAGTAATGAGTGGGTTGAGTTCTGCGAGGGAGGCTGAGAAGAGATGGCGCTATAAATAAGCTGACGGTTCAGTTGCGGGATATTCGCCGGACAATAACGAAGTGAGCAAAGAAGCTAAAGAATTCCCATTGTTAAGAGCCGTTACCAAGCAACGACTAGTAAAGACACTGCAGGCTGGAGAAAACTTAGAGTGTAGTGATTTGTAAATTGTGGAAATGAGCGATGACGCTGCGTTTGTAGGTCCGAGTCAATAAATCCATTCACCAGTCCATAATCCGTCTATAGTCACATATAAATTCTGACAGTAATTTACTAATTTATGTATGGCTCTACAGCCATTGTGGACCTTGGCAGCTTTTTCAGTTTCTTAATCTATACACAGTAGGTAGGACTCTTTGGACGGGGGGATCAGCCCGTCGCAAGGCCATTACTTACACAGAACAACACATACAGACATCCATGCCTCGAATGGGATTCGAACCCACGATCAAAGTGTTCGAGCGGACGAAGACTGTTCATACCTTAGAACGTGCGTACCTTACTAATACAACTGGGAAAATCGCTCTCCTATTTTACGGCAAGCAACTACTCGTATTTAAAATTTTTAATTACCTAATATTGGCTGGATAGTTTTGTTTCGAAGACTAAAGATAATAGTCACTACTGTGAGAACCTCACGCTTAGTTTTTTTATTCTTTGACCCTGAAGAAGGAGGCACTACATTCCTCTGAAACTTGTACAGTATTACAAGATGTCACATTCCAGGAGACATTACTCATGTTTTTATCGCCGTGAGAACGTCAGATCTCATATCTGATAAGTTGTTCGCTGAAACTTATTTGTTTAGAATGCAGAAATCTTT